TCTAGAAGAACAAGAAAAACAATTTGAAATGTAAGTTATTTCTGTTTCAGTTACCTGTACTGTAACGAGGTACTCATTGACTCAGACAACGTACTCTCCGTCCTCTACTGCTGTAAGAAGTACAACGTCCAGTCTCTGCTGACCAAGTGCGTGGACTTTGTAAAGCAGACGATGTCTGTCGACAATGTGTGTTCTTTGTTGGAACAAGCTCACTTCTTTGACGAGCAGCAGTTGTACCAGAGTTGTCTATCCTTAATTCACCAACAGGGGGCCTCTGTGTTGCAAACAGACGGATTCCAGGAGCTCTCGCGCGCATGCGTCTTAGATGTCATTTCCTCCGACTCTTTGGCCTGCCAGGAAAGAATCGTCTTCGAGGCAATGCTTCGCTGGGCAGAAGCGGAATGTAAACGTCAAAGCAAGCATGTACAAGATTCGACTATGAGGGTAGTTCTAGGGGAACTGGTGTTCCAGATTCGCTTTCGGCTTCTCGACATGGCATATTATTCCACACAGGTTTCTACTCGCCAGATACTTGATGATGCGGAAAAGCTGGTGCTTTTTCAGGCAATATCCGGCACTCCTGTGAGAAGGATGAAGTTTAAGGGTAAACAGCGAAACTTTCACCGAAGTTCTTTCGATCTCATGCCCTTGGATGTGGACGAGGAGGACGATTGGATGTACTGAGGTCTAGGTCTGCAGCAAATGTCCGGAAAAAATTCGAGTTCATATCGATATATATATATAAGAAATAACTAATGTCATGGCTTTGTGGAGACAACATGTAATTCACTAATGACGGGACCAATAATGTTTGGTGCTGATCATGAGTTTAATAATATTGCAATCAATACAATATCAAAATTCAATGTTAACGTACCTCTGATTTTAACGAAATTACAACAAACCTTATTTTTTAACAAAATATTATCTTTGATAAATCCTGGAACACATGTACCCTTAGTTGCGGATGCAGAGTATATTAGAAACATATACATCTGCCCTTGATACCATTCGCTAAGCAGCAGATTTGTTTGGCGAATTTAACATCCGGCGTGTACACGACCCAGTCGCTTGAAACACTTGCCCAAACCGTCATATGCTCTCTCGCACCATTAATTTATTAATGATGGAAATTAAGTGTGAAGAAATTTATTGTTTTATACTGTATATATTAGTCTCTGGCTGTGTAAATTGTTGATGAGAAACTATCAGTCTGTTACAGCTTACAGCAACAAAACAGCCTAGTACAAAGCTAATTCCATGCCACTTCTACTCAATGAAGTGTTTCGTTATGTAGTTTTCTTATCTGAACCATGTTTTGTTTTCACTAGTACTCAAACACATACACACAATACTGTTTCAACTTCTAAATTCCGCTCAAAGACATAAACCTGTTCGATCACATGACACTGTTCTTTTAAGTGAGTTTCCACCGCTTCTCATCTTATCCCTTCTCTTGGGTTGTTCGTGTATAAGTTCACTGATGCAAAATACCTATATTCGGTGTCGCGAGTGGTAATGTAATGTTTAATCAATAAAGAGTGAATTTTATTGTAAAAGGTATTCAATAAATTGTGTTGTTATTTGTGCAGTTCGCCAGCACCTGCTGCGTTTGGGTTCTGTGCACTGTTGCTAGTAAGGATGATGAAATGTTGAAGAATAGGGAGTTGCAAGAGTCAAGTCTTGATATCACTAGTGTTTAATGAGAAGCTTTATGGTCTAAGAGTCCAGAAGGTGGCGAATGTTGCCGACGTTATGAATGTGAAAGAAGCAGGATTTAGATAGCTGAACTGACATGTTTCCCAGAGATGTATGTTAGACTGGAATAGGACACCTAGCACAAGATGATATGGCAATCGATCACCGATCTTGAGAGCTAGACTTGGAGGGACCTTGCAAATTGAGAAGTTGTTTTCTCGTACCGAATGTCAGGATTCTGTCTCAATATAATTTAGGTTTAGATAGTTGGCTGCCATCCACAAGTTACGCCCCCTATGCGTGCATGAAACCTGTGATTGAGTGTTTTAATCTCGGATCGCCCTGATAGTGTCTTGGTTTGTCAGAACCCACTCTCCTACACAGAGTTCCATGCAGCCAGCACAGTACCTCTGCCACAGGACAGCGCAATGTGAGGGTTCGTCACGTCTGACACAGTCCACTCAAGATGTTGCATATGTTTTTCATCTGTTTTATTGTTATCGTGTCTACACATCCAGATAAACATATGGAATGGTTATCTTCCATTGTGAAAATATCCTAAAACGTGAAGAACGATTTCCATTTGCGTATTTATCCTTTCTTTACATTAGTATGGCTCCACGTGCTATCATCGAAGCTATATATATGTAGTTTTCCATGTATTTAACACGACTTGCTTGCGGACGAAATTCCACCATCATGTACATGGACCTCCCAGGGTATTTGACAAGAAATTTAAGGCATTTATTTCTTACGAAGCCTTGATTTTTCTCCCCGTATGCATCTATTTACACTAGGGGCGGTCGGGTAGCATAGTGGTTAAAGCGTTCGCTTGTCACGCCGAAGATCCGGGTTCGATTCCCGACATGGGTACAAGGTGTGAAGCCCATTTCTGCAGTCTCCCGCAATATTGCTGAAATATTGCTAAAAGCGGTTGAAAACTCCACTCACTCACTCACGTTCACAGGCCACACCCAATTTACCTATAGTTTTCCAGAAATTTCGAGAGTCTTGTGTTTTGTACTTGTCCAGCAAACGCTGCTGTTCTGTTGCTTTGAAGGAGCCTTATTTTTCCAATACGTATTGTCAAATATCCTCCTACAGAGTTTAAATTTACTATTCAGTTCTTTCTTTCTTAGCGGCGATTCACACTGCAACCACAGGCGTTCAGAAACACATGGCAAATCCCACAAGCACTGGAGCTCATCACACCAATAGGGTTTGTAAAAAGAAATTATCATAGGCTTCATTAACATTCCTCTGAATATCTACTAATAGTTTCCTGTAATTTAACGCCAAATCCTCCCCTTGTAAAGTAGGTCTGTTATCTTATCTTGTCTATGACGTGGCTGGTCCACATCAAACTTCCGCTGAGGGCTCTGTATGGCTTGAGAGACAAGCATTGAGTGAGTTGGGTTTAACGCCGCCTTTAACAGTATTCCAGTTATATCACGGCGTGTCAGCTTAATGTGGGAGGAAAGCCCGAAGTGATGCAGGTATCAGACGTTTACCACTTCGGTGAAACCCACGAGCACGGGTATGGTGCTGGCGTGCTCAAGGGACGCAACTCTGCATAGCGAATCGCGGCGCCTTAGACGGCTGGGCCACCTTTTTCCCCGACAAGCAATGAAATGTCCCATGAGAGAACCGAATGGTCAGATATGTTGTCAGGGCAATTAGCGTCGGCTACAGAGAAAAATCCTGTATACATTAAACGACTTATCTATATATCTGTCATCAGTCTAGCTACTTTAGTTTATACACCTCTCAGTCGGTCGATTTCCCGGATATTAAACGCCACACTCAGCAATATCCCCGCTATATGACGGCGGTCTGTAAATAATCGAGTCTGGACAAGACAATCCAGTGATTGACATTATGAGCATCGATCTACGCAGTTGAGATACAATGACATGCATCAACCAAGTCAGCAAACCTGACCACCCGATCCCGTTTGTCGCCTCTCACGACAAGCACAGTCGCCTCGTATGACAAGTATGACATAACCGATGGAACTGAAATTCTCTTCAAAGCTGCGTCAACCAAACTAACTCGGATCCATTGTCCCAAGGGTGATAACCGCAAGATAGAGTCATGTTGCCGCCATGTTGTGTTTTATTTTAATATTTGGAACTATACGACCTCAACAAAAGCAAAGAGACAATGTCAAATACAGTAAAGTACGGTTATAACGAACTCAAGGGGACCACTAATTACAGTTCGTTATAACCGTAGTTCGTTATAAGCATATATACAGCATAACTACAGCAAATAGTCGGGACCAAAAAAGTAAATTCGTTATATCCGTCAGTTCGTTATAAGCGTGTTCGTTATAACCGTAGTTTACTGTACCCCGGCGTCTCCTATAGCAAGTAAGGTTTGCTGAAGGCCCATATTGTAACGCGGATCTTCACGGGCCGGATAGAGTAGGGATCCCAGGTTGATTAACCTCCATTTATCGCAATACATATGAGGTCTTACCGCACCGAAACCGTATGGCCTTTCTTACGGACTGGTATAAACTAATGCACAGCCAGCTCCAGGGATAGCGGTGTGATGTGTGCAGGGAACCTCTTCTCCCCAGTGTGTCAGGCAGATTACGTGTCAACCCGCTCACCCGTGACTATCCCCCCAAACAGGTTGTTCTCTACGTGACGTGGGTAGTGTGCATCCCCACTGTTTCAACATCCTGGGACTCGTGAAGGTCCGGCGTAGAAAATTTCTTCAGCAACCCATACTTGCCGTAAAAGGCGACTATGCTTGTCGTAAGAGGCGACTAACGGGATTGGGTGGTCAGCCTCGCTGACTTGGTTGATGCATGTCATCGTCTCCCAATTGCGTGGATCGATGCTCATTATGTCAATTACTAGATTGTGTGGTCCAGACTCGATTTATTACAGACCGCCGTCATATAGCTGGAATATTTGTGAGTGTGGCGTTAAACAACAAACAACAAACAAACAAACAAACAAACACACAAACAAACAACATCCTGGATCTGCCACTGCGAATTGATCAACAAGTTGTTTACAACCACTGTCGATGTCCGCTGCATGCCGCTGTCACAACAACATCGCGAGTCCAAGATTATACGCGATTACCTCCCTTGCGCCAATCGATAACATTTGATTACTTTATACACATGAAACACAAGATATCATGCATGTTTCATTGCTCACGCAAAGCCAGAGCAATAGGATTCCTAATGACCATTAATATATGAATAACGGCACACCTAACGCAGACCTCACATTCGGTCATACAGCCTGCATTTCCGGTGCGCTCGCACTAAATATATTATCGTCTGCTACACTTGATGGTCAGCCGCTATGGCGCTGCCAAGCCGCTCCATTCGCGCTCTGTTGACGAGCAGTGTCCGAAATATAAATGGCTGCATATCAAGGACATATTATCTATATTCTTCCGAACCATTTCATCCTTATCCAGAACGACAGCCGAAATGGATGAGCGCGGAGGAGGCCGTGTCAGTTATCAAATCCGGTAAGAGCTGTGTTGTGGTTTTTAGTCAGGAAATTAACCGGTAACACAGACGATCCCGCCTCTTCCTCATCCTTGCGATGGAAAACAGCAGAAATAAGTACAGTGAGGTGATTATTACAGTCATACTGAGTAGAGCATATATATAGACAGGTTAATAATGTGGATCGTTGCTGGCGCAGGTACTAATGAAATGTACTTACAAGCGCTGTTTACAGCGCTGTTGTCGGGATTGTAGGGGACCAGGTAGACTTGCACAAGTCTATAAGTAAATAATATTTAGTTTAAACCATAATTTCTAGATTATGTAAATAATATGAACAAGTTGGCCCTGTAAGAGACTGGAGTCCTTGTACTGTCCACATATCTAGACTTGCCTATAAGGAGGATAGATTCACTACACATCCATAGGCTATTCTTTCAGTACAGCCTTGGAGCAAGGCTATGGACTAGGCGAACATCGGACACAAAGTGCATGCATGCGAGTTTACCTGACAGTCATACTGAAATCCGTTTCGTGCATTGTGTAAAAAACCAATGTGTACGTCATACATATTTTGTATATGAATATATTTTGCTTGGGTACATGGCTACATTTCCGTACATAATACCCCAACAACATCAATTTTAAGATATATACTGTTCTGGAAAACTCTCTCATCTGTGACCAGCTGCCCTGGTGACCTGGTTGAGATGGCTATGTCATGACAGTGTAGGTCGCTGATTGGAAGCTGTCGTTGTTTTATTGTAATATTTTCGAACTTCATTCAGTCAAACTGAATATATGATCATAACGATTGACATTACCTCCCCGCTATAACACGGAAGGGTCCCAGTCGTGATTGCGCTGACGAAACTGAATCAGGAGGTACGGCCTTGCCCTTGCCACAGTCAGACAAGGTCTTTTGTATGTCATCTATATTACTCTAAAAAGAACAGACCGACGTGATAGTTTCATATTGCATGTTACAACGTAATATGCATTCTCCTCGGAATATTTTATTTCTACCGGTTGACATGATCACCTCGCTATAACATGAGGGGGCTCAAGGCTATTGCGCTGACCCATCCTTACAGATAAATGATTACTTCCCTCTTCGAGATGTGATAAGACGCCATATATACTCAGAATCCTGGAATACATTTCCGTAACGAATACTAACGATTGACAAGACCACCTCGCTATAGCGTTAGGTGGTACTCGTTATTGTGCTGACCCATTGTGGAATGACTTGCTGCAGTCCCAGCTTGATTATTTCATTTTAACGATTGACTTCACCGCTCGTCCGCAGTGGCAGGGTCAGTCGTGGTACACGTTGAATATTACTATATTCAGGGACTGTTTATATATATATATATATACCGTCAACTGTTTTCCGATAAGCGAATTATCTGACCTTTTTTATTCTCATTTTCAGAGACTATCAGTATATAGCCTCTGTCAATTTAAATATTTTTTGCCTCTTGCTATCTTTGTCTTCAGTTAGATTTAATCTCTCCCGTGTTTCAAAACTATAAATATCAACTAACAGCACACGCTACACCGACGATACCCAACATGACTAATAAATGCATGCCCTGTTGAGTACCGTGTTCCCTCCAATAGATATCGGTTGTATGTGTTAGCATTTTGGAAGAATAGAGGCAGGGTGCAGAACCTATTCAGCGGAAATAAAGTCAGAAATAATGTTCAAATAGTTCTTAAAAAACGTTTTCTTCAATTGGGAGTAAATCTAAATTCCGCACAACCCACTAATACCCAATGCTTTCCGCTGCTCACATATGGGTGAGGTGAAATGGGGTTTAACGTCGCGTTCAAAATTATTACACTTAAATAGCGACGTGCATGCACGTGTATGTGTGTGTGCGTGTGTGGCTGCTTGTACTAGTCCGGACTGATGTCGATTAATAGTGCTAGCACACTGAGATACCATGCCGCAGTTTAACATGAATACCCAACTTAGACAAAGTGTACTGACTCCGACTCTTGTTTTAGCCCCTTAATGCCGAGCGCCAGGCAGGGTTACAACAAGTACCATCTTTTAACGTCTTTTGGTATGACGCGGTCGGGGATCGAACCCCTGACCTTCCGCTCTCCGGGCGGACGCTCTACCATTAGAAAACGGGTGCTCACATATGAAGCCTTCTGATCATTTACAGAACATTTTGTTGAAATATATGTATACTGAACATATACATGATTGTATGGACCAGTGGATGCTATGTACATATGTAGGACATCCATGTACCTCTAATACCACTCATAAGTAACTAAGTTATGTCCTAGACGGTCTTTGATGATGATGATGATTATTATTATTATTGCTGTTGTTATTGTTGTTGTTGTTAATGTTATTGTTATGATTATTGATAGTCCCTAAATCACGGCCACGAAATGGGAAAACAAAAAGTCCAGGTGCGTCTATCTGAGCAAATACGGAATGTTACAAGTTCTAAAGTGTTATTTGAAACGTGTCTATTCTAAGGGCACAGATACACGGCTTGACGCCTGATCTGCCTTGAAAGATAAAATCTCTACACCCACCAGGCCGTGCCTTTACTCGTGCTTGCATAATAACATATTCATACCGTCTGTTCGGCTGGCCCTCTTTTTTTGTTTAAAGACATTCTTTTTAAAAAAATATTTATTGTCTTCAACACGTGCCGGGGCGGTCGGGTAGCCTAGTGGTTCGCGTTCGCTCGTCACGCCGAAGACCTGGGTTCGATTCCCGACATGGGTACAATGTGTGAAGCCCATTTCTGGTGTCCCCCGCCGCGTTATTGCTGGAATAATGCTAAAAGCGGAGTAAAATCAAACTCGCTCAACACGTGCCACCAACATGACCTTTGTATTGATGCATAGTCATGACATGATTTGTTTTGTTTGTTTGCTTGTTTGTTTGTTAGTTTGTTGTTTAACGCCGCACTCGGCAATATTCCAGCTATGTGACGGCGGTCTGTAAATAATCGAGTCTGGATTAGACAATCCAGTGATTGACATTATGAGCATCGAGGTACGCAGTTAGGATAAGATAACATGCATCAACCAAGTCAGCGTACCTGACCGCCGATCCCGTTAGTCTCTTACGACAAGTATAGTCGCCTTGATGACACCTAGAGATTACTGATTAGAACTGGTTCTCATGAACCTGTGCTGTTTGTACGAGGGGACTTAATGTGGATCGAGTGGTCAGGCCTAGTGACTCCTTGGTAATGTTTCATCGTACCCGGATGGCGCGGGTCGTTGCGCACAATATCAATCACTGGATTGTTTGGTCGAGACCCGCTTTGTGTACAGGTTGTCGTGATATAGCTGGGATATTGCTGAGTGAGGCGTTAAACAACAAACAAACAAACAAGCAAGCATTTTTCCTGGAACCTTGTGGTTTAATATACAGTAAACTACGGTTATAACGAACACGCTTATAACGAACTGACGGATATAACGAACTTACTTTTTGGTCCCGACCATTTGCTGTAGTTATGCTGTATATATGCTTATAATGAACTACGGTTATAACGAACTAAAATTAGTAGTCCCTTTGAGTTCGTTATAACCGTACTTTACTGTACATTACATAGCGGTTGTCGTGCGAGTGTGTTTTGGGATGGTATAAATCCTGTGTTAGGAATAAACATTGTATTTAACGAGCCTTGGCGAGCTCAATACATAGCGTTTATTCCTAATACAGGATATTTACCATCCCCAAACACAAGTGTGGTAACCTCTTTATCATATAATGTCATTCTTCAGTTCTGTGCTCGAAAATCTCTTTCCATTTCTCACAAACATTACGTAAACATTGCATGTTTTCCTGGAATGTGCGCATTAATATATATAACGTCAGAGGGTAAGTGATGTGTCAGTCGGACAGTGACAGTAACCAATATAGTTCCAACTTAAATAGAGATTACTACACTCGTGCCTGTCAGATACCATTTATCTCACAACTCGTCGTTTCACAACGTATCTAACGAGCGAAAGCGAGTTAGATACGCTTTGAAACAACGAGTTGTGAGATAAATGGTATCTGACAGGCACGAGTGCAATAATCTGTTTATTACACACCCTAAGGTCGCACCTTTTTATCATCGAATCAATGCATTTTGTCTGTGCTCATAATCGCAGTAGCACATTTATACATAACACAACGGTCATGAGTGACGTCATCCGACGTACTGCTTACCATTCATAAATAATGTGACCCTACACCTAAACCTAAAAAGGTTTCCGCCATCTGTGGATTGTCAAGGCAAACTAGATAAGATCAAAGAACCCGCATGATGCCGAGTTAAAAATGTCATGTAAATAATCAGAAACAATTTGCGCAGTGTTTATTGTTTTTATGTTTTCCAATGTAACCAAGAGAATTTGTCAGAAATGCAGATAACTACCGTCGTCGTTGTGCGTGACTTTGCGTCAGTCATGGCGTTACACAGGACGGATCCTTTTACGATTTCTGATTTGAATTTCCCTGATCATTTTAATGTATACATTTTTAATTCCATAATTCGTGCCACGATAGGGGCAGAGGGGTAGCCTAGTGGTTAAAGCGTTTGCTCGTCACGCCGAAGACCCGGGTTCGATTCCCGACATGGGTACAATGTGTGAAGCCCATTTCTGGTGTCCCCCGCCGTGATATTGCTGGAATATTGCTAAAAGCGGCGTAAAACCATACTCACTTACTCGTGCCACGATACTCTTCCCACTAATATTCTCAAATTCGTCAGCCAATGTATGCAACAATTATTTAGCTTTGTTACTGACCAAACACATTTTGTAAATATTTGATTATGCAAAACACCAAAAAGTAACAAAAATAATAACGCCTGATTCGAAGGTTTTCCGATGAATGAGAAATGGGACTTACTCCTTTTCACCTAACATTTATGTGGGGAAACAAGAGAAAGATGCTCTGAAGAACAAGCAATTAATTCCTGTGCCTTGATTCCATTATCTCAGGGCACAAGGTGTTCCTCCACGCCGGGGCAGCCACTCCCACCACCCTGGCTGACGCTATGGCCGTGTACGGGAAGAAAGCGGGGCTGAGGAATGTGGAGGTACTGCATCTCCACTCTGAAGGCCCTGCCACGTATGCTCAGCCCGAATATAAAGGTAAGCACACGACCAGATAACCTATTAATGACTGCGACGATATAAATGTATATAAATATAAACGATGTGCGCTATCGTCCTGATTGATCATTTACGATTAAAGGTAAACGTTGGGCGCTCAATATGTCGCTGCTTGCCATACAGCGAGGCTTTCATTATCGTGTCAATACTTAGTGTCACTGTGTTACTGTGTCACTGTGTCACTACTCATAAGTCGTAACTGGTAGGTATAACACTGTGGGGGCACTGGGGTGGGAAACCAACATTTCGACTGTTCTTGCTGTAACGTACATATTTTGTACAAATTAACATCACTTCGTATACACACACTTAGTTAGAGGACGCCATCGAGTCATATCCAAAGGCTGACAGATTTAGAGTTACACGTGACATATACGAGTTCATCTAGCAATGGAATTTAATTCCCGCTCAACAGTGTTATTATATGAGTTTAGTTTTACACCACTTTTAGCAATATTCCAGCAATATCACGGCGGGGGACACCAGAAATCGGCTTCACACATTGTATCCATGTCGGGAATCGAACCCGGATCTTCGGCGTGACGAGCGAACGTTTTAACCACTAGGCTACCAGACCGCCCCTGGAGCTATTACATGTTCCGAGGGCCATATTTTGGCTGTATTTCCTATTTCCTATTTTTGGCCCTTCTTCACATTTTCCTCTTTAAACACCTGTAAGTGTCTCAGTGTCAGCTTGTGTATGCCATCACACCCACATACTGCAGTTATCTAAATACACACACACACGACACAAACCTCATTTCCGATTCACGACTTGTATTTTTAAAGACTTGGTTTGCAGATACAAATGTTTTAAAATATAAGGGTTGTTAGACGAAATGTAAAATAATGTTTGCAAAAGCATATGTTTTCAGTGCCAAGGTAAGATGTGAAACAATCAATAAATTTAAACCATGGCCCCTTTGTCTCTGACCGTCGTCCAACTAACTATAAGTTAAACGCCACTTGGCAACGTCGGAACTTCCTTTTTCCCGTATACTTTATTATGAAAATAGTTTGTCGCCAGCGGGATTAGAACCAGCGAAGTCCGCACAGGAGGTTAACGAATGTAGACTTCAGCCACGGCGACATGGGAGGAATTGTATGAAATTAACAACTAAATATTTACTAACATCAGTACTAATTGCTTTTCCGTTTATGAACTGTGAAATACGTTTTATGCATTTTTTATAAAGTATGTTACTCTATGCACTCTAGTATTTGTACAGTACTTGTGATTTGGTCACTCTTCGTTCAACGAAACGAACAGAAGAAAATAAATTACTATTATCTTGATCAGGGCTATATTTTCTCACAATAGGCCCATCAGCATGGGCAAGTAATATCTGGGTGATTGATAAAAGTGCTCCAGTTGGTCCAAAACGAATGGTATTCTTGCCCCGGGACATGCATTTCATAACCCAAATCGGCAAAATGCTAGGTCACGTGCGAAAGGCTCGGGGAACATATTTCACGTGCTTCCCACAGGGCCGCCTAACAGTTGAGCATCGAGTTCCTGATTATCTTTCAAAATACCTTTAACAAAACAATGTTTTTAATCATTTTAGGTGCTATGAATATTGGACATGGTTAAAGTATGTTATACCACTCGGACCCCAGTGTCTAATCTTTGAAATGTTGCGCGCCTCGTGGTTAATCAACCATTTCAACGATTAGACACTGGGTCCTCGTGGTCTGACCTATACCTCGCCTCGTTGTAACGGTATATTTATCATATGACGCACAGTGTTATCGATGCGATAAACTTGGCATTACAATCAGATAAAGATGCAAATGAGGTCACCTGGAAGGAACTACTTTTATGCTCCATATATTGCTGCCATATCACTTGCTCAATAAACTTTAGCCTGATATTTCCAATAAGTTTAGCTAGGAGTTTCCCAATAAGTTTAGCTAGGAGTTTCCCAATAAGTTTAGCTAGGAGTTTCCCGGTGTGTTGGTATTTGTGTTATGATTAATGAAGCGGTTCACAGTATTGGTGTTGTGTTGTATTTATACTCCATTCTAACGGTATTTCAGTGAGTGGTGTGATTTCTTAACCGTGGTTAATAATTTTAAGACAAACGTTATTTGACATAGAGATTATTGTCCTCGCAGTATACAATTTCTATTGCTAATAAAGGATGTAGACGATACGGTAACATGGTCACCATATGATCGCTGAATAAAATTTCTATTCTTTTATAGGATATATACGATACGGTAACATGGTCACCATATGATCGTTGAATACAATTTCTATTCTCATATAGGATATATACGATACGGTAACATGGTCACCATATGAACGCTGAATACAATTTCTGTTCTTGATATAGGATATATACGATACGGTAACATGGTCACCATATGATCGTTGAATACAATTTCTATTCTCATATAGGATATATACGATACGGTAACATGGTCACCATATGATCGTTGAATACAATTTCTATTCTCATATAGGATATATACGATACGATAACATGGTCACCATATGATCGTTGAATACAATTTCTATTCTCATATAGGATATATACGATACGGTAACATGGTCACCATATGATCGTTGAATACAATTTCTATTCTCATATAGGATATATACGATACGGTAACCTGGTCACCATATGATCGCAATTTTATTCCTGAGATAGGATATATACGATACTGTAACATGGTCACCATAGGATCGCTGAATACAATTTCTATTGCTAATACATGATATTTATGATAAGGAAACACTTCCGGCTTATCACCTATAATCTATATTCCTTTCAGCGTCTATATAAATCTCATCCAATGAAGTTTACTGCACATAAATATACATCCAAACAACAGTAAAACAGTAAAATGAATTTATTTTTTTCAGACCATTTCCGATCCAACTCGTTCTTCATTGGCGCTAACGTACGAAAGGCAATAAACTCCGGAGATGCTGACGTCATCCCGATCTTTCTCTCGGAGATCCCGCTTCTTTTCCATTGTCGACTGATTCATATCGACGTGGCTCTTGTCTCCGTGAGCCCGCCCGACAAACATGGCTACTGCTCTCTGGGAGTCAGTGTGGACTGCGCCCGAGCTGCAATGCAAAATGCCAAATACATTATAGGTGAGCCCAACGATAGACATGAGTGGGTATTGTTTTAGGCCGCTTTTAGCGTCATATTTATGCCCTACCAACGCTTGGCACTACAGTAAACTACGGTTATAACGAACTCAAAGGGACCACTAACTTTAGTTTGTTATAACCGTAGTTCGTTATAAGCATATATACAGTATAACAATAGTAAATAGTCGGGACAAAAATATCAGTTCGTTATATCCGTCAGTTCGTTATAAGCGTGTTCGTTATAAACGTACTTTACTGTACTAGAATGACCGTCACTCTTTTCCTGTTGTGTGGCACACGGGGAACTGAACCCTCAGCGCAAGATGGCTGTAATCACTAGTGAGTGAGTGAGTTGGGTTTAACGCCGCTTTTAACATTATTCAAGTTATATGACGGCGTGTCAGCTTAATGTGGGAGGAAAGCCCGAAGTGATGCAGGTCTCAGACGTTTACCACTTCGGTGAAACCCACGAGCACGGGTATGGTGCTGACAAACCTAGAAACATACTTGGGGCGAACCTGGATTCGAACCCACAATCATAGGTTTCTGGCGTGCCCAAGGGATGCAACTCTGCACAGCGAATCGCGGCGCCTTAGATGACTGGGCCACCCGTGCCCCCTGTAATCACTAGGTTATAGACAAAGACCCAGATAGATGGGCGAGTGAATGTTGTTCTACGCTATATGCAGGGGTGTGTTATGATTATAGATACGTTTGGTGTTGTGGATAGAGCGTCTGCCGTAGAGTGGAAGGTCCAGTCTATGTCATACTTGAAAGTCGATGCAAGGTTGAACTTGTTACTATGTCTGGCGTTCGGCATTATACAAGGACAGTCCGGTTCAGAGTCAGTATACAGAGTCTCAGTGGGGTTAAACTGTGACATGGTATCTCAGTGGGGTTAAACTGTGGCATGGTATCTCAGTGGGGTTAAACTGTGGCATGGTATCTCAGTGGGGTTAAACTGTGGCATTGTATCTCAGTGGGGTTAAACTGTGGCATGTCATCTCAGTGGGGTTAAACTGTGGCATGGTATCTCAGTGGGGTTAAACTGTGGCATTGTATCTCACTGGGGTTAAACTGTGTTAGGTATATCAGTGGGGTTAAACTGTGGCATGTCATCTCAGTGGGGTTAAACTGTGGCATTGTATCTCACTGGGGTTAAACTGTGTTAGGTATCTCAGTGGGGTTAAACTGTGGCATGGTATCTCAGTGGGGTTAAACTGTGGCATGTCAACTCAGTGGGGTTACACTGTGGCATGGTATCTCATTTGGGTTAAACTGTGGCATGGTATCTCAGTGGGATTAAACTGTGGCATGTCATCTCAGTGGGGTTACACTGTGGCATGGTATCTCACTGGGGTTAAACTGTGTTAGGTATCTCACTGGGGTTAAACTGTGGCATGGTATCTCAGAGGGGTTAAACTGTGGCATGGTATCTCAGTGGGGTTAAACTGTGGCATTGTATCTCACTGGGGTTAAACTGTGTTAGGTATCTTAGTGGGGTTAAACTGTGGCATGATATCTCAGAGGGGTTACACTGTGGCATGGTATCTCAGTGGGGTTAAACTGTGGCATGGTGTCTCAGTGGGGTTAAACTGTGGCATGGTATTTCAATTTGGTATTCATGTTAAACTATGGCATGGTATATCAGTGGGATAATCATGTTTACTTGTGGCATGGAATCACAGTAGGGTATTCATGTTAAACTATGGCATGATATATCAGTGGGATAAGCATGTTTACTTGTGGCATGGTATCACAGTAGGGTATCCATGTTAAACTATGGCATGGTATATCAGTGGGATAATCATGTTTACTTGTGGCATGGTATCACAGTAGGGTATCCATGTTAAACTATGGCATGGTATATCAGTGGGATAATCATGTTTACTTGTGGCATGGTATCACAGTAGGGTATCCATGTTAAACTATGGCATGGTATATCAGTGGGATAATCATGTTTACTTGTGGCATGGTATCTCAGCTCCATTAAACCGAGTACAAGCAACTATACAACAAAAGAGCATGAACGTCGCTGTAAAAGTGCAATAATCTCTAACGTGGCTTCCCCACTTTACGTAACCTGCGGATATATCTCGGTTGCATTGTAAGTAATTGAGTTCAAGAGCAGTGGTTGAACCACGGGGTAAGGTCCAACCAAATAGCCACGGAAGTAAAAGTAAAGCTTCACTTTCCAGGAAAATATTATATTATTTGTTTCTACTTGGTGGTTATGGGAATTACGTGACAGACTAGGCATTTCATAATATTGTTTACCATTGCTATTCCTACGATCTTATCCGAAAAGTGAGATGTGAGGTTCCATATTTAAAGAATTCTGCCAAAAGTGATCCTTTTCTTTGGGGAAAATGGCAAAACGGGACCAGATCATTTATGGATGATCTATTGTTTATCTTCTAGGTCTGGTGAACAAGCAAATGCCACGGACATTCGGAGACGGCCTCATACACCAGTGTCACTTTGACGCCATGGTTGCGGAGGACAGGCCCCTGCCAGAGCTTCAGAAGAGCACAGCGTCGCCCCAGGAAGAACAGATTGGCAAACTTATTGCTGAGAATCTGGTCCAGGACGGAGCAACCCTTCAGATGGGTAGGTTGATTGATTGTTGTTTTGTTAAACGCCGAACTCAGCAATATTCCAGCTATATGACGGCGGTCTGTAAATAATCGAGTCTGGACCAGACAATCCAGTGATTGACATCATGAGCATCAATCCACGCCATTGGGATACGATGACATATATCAACCAAGTCAGCGAGCCTGACCACCCGATCCCGTTAGTCGCCTCTTACGACAAGCATTGTCACCTTTTAGTGCAATGATGGGTTGCTGAAGACCTATTCTACACCTGGGTCATCACGTTAGTAGTGGCGTGTTATAAAAACAGGTATTCAACAATCTGTTACATGATCGACTGAAGTTCAAGGTGAGTCGGTGTACTAGCTAATGCGTGAACAAATGTGGTTATAAAATATATCATTATATTAATTAAGTCAGGACAGTGAATTCTATGTTAATTATACAGGTTTGGTTCTTTCTTTGTTTACGGGGGAGAGGGTGGCACGGGTGGCCCAGTCGTCTAAGGCGCCGCGATTCGCTGTGCAGAGTTGTGTCCATTGGGCACGCCAGAAACCTATGATTGTGGGTTCGAATCCCGGTTCGCCCCGATTATGTTTCTAGGTTTGTCAGCACCATACGGGTGCTCGTGGGTTTCGCCGAAGTGGTAAACGTCTGAGACCTGCATCACTTCGGGCTTTCCTCCAACATTAAGCTGACACGACGTGATAAAACTTTTAATACTGTTGAAAGCGGCGTAAAACCCAACGCACTCACTCACTCACTTTGTTTACCGGGTTAAACCTTAAGCAACGGGCCCAAACTGTTAGACAATGAAATATTTCATAATCTTTAGTGGACAATGGATTCTATCATCTACCAATAGTGATTTTGTTCCGTGTTTACGGAATACGGTTTTAGTGACGGGTCCAAACTGTTCAGGCAGACCTGAAGGTCTTTGAATAATCAACATAATTATGTTGCCAGTAAGGCATAAATTCCAAAGCGTTTTGGTTTATGAATATATTTGTTCTGTTAAACATTTGTTATAATTGAAATAACTGAAAAAAAGAAAGTTACTACCGTTCTAAATTCTAAGATGTCGTTTTTTTATACCCCGTTTATGTCCGTCCGTCCGCCAGCCGTCCATTTCTGGAGCAGAACTCCTAAACCGTTGAATATTTCTTTCTTGTTGAAGGTTGCTATACAGATCAGTCTAGTGGTGAACTGGTGCCTTTTGAATTTGATGACTTGGGATATTTTTTATAAATTTACACACGATGGACTTATACTGAAAACGAGGGTATAGCTCGTTTCCGGAGCAGAATTCAACAACCGTAAATATTCCTTGAAGAAATTTGCTGTGCAGATTAGTCTAGCGGTGATCTGGTGCCTTTTGATGATTTATACAACATTATTTTTATGGCAATGAACCCCAAGCAGAGTATAAGTAGCCAAACTCCAGTTGCACCAGAACGGGGGGATATGTCATCTCCTGATGACTCTTGTTTACTTTGATTCATATCATATGTAAATAGTTTGAACGCCAGACCTGTAAACAATGTCCTTTTAAACTTGATACAAATAAAAAATACTCTTTTTCATGAGGATGAACACCATACGACTTACATCTTAACTCCACATTTTTCCAGGTAATCAGTAGACTTGGTCAGTTGTATCACAGTAAGTTGAACTTGGGTTTTCTTAACATTAATGTACCACTAAGTCCTCCAATCAGATGACTCGTGGGATCTCGCACCCATCGCATAGCTGTCACAAGCCAGACAATATTAACAAAGAGGAGATTTTACTACACTTCATGTTGTTTGAGATAATGTGCACATAGTATGGGGGGTTATCTCCCATTAACTGTCAACATCAAGGCTTTGTCAAAGTAATCGGGACACGATATTACACAAATACAGCTAGGGAAGATAGTCTGTTACTATGGAATGACATAACAGTGTGGATCGCGGTCGGGATATCCTCATGCAGAAGGTAAGGGGTCGTTTCCCGGCATGTGTACAGTCTGTGAAGCATTTTGATGTTAGTGTTCCACGCCCTGATATATAAATTGCAATGTTGCCAAACCGGCGTAGAGGAACATACTGTCACTCACTTAACAGTTCATGATTTACACAGTTCTTCCGAAAAAAAACTGCAAGGCAGAAGAATGAATACACTTGAAAATTGGATTTGACTAAAAATGTGAAAACGTTATCGAAACGTTTCTGCGCTAAAATGTCACGGAAACTTAAGGTCCAAACCCCGACAATGATACCCGTATCAAATACATGACATCGAATAACCATTCCTTTTTTTCTCATGTTTAGCCACCGTCAGACATGGGTGTATACTTTCTTTTGCCCGTGTGTTTATCCGAGAATCCCTTAATTGTTTCATGATTGTATTTACTTCCATGGGTTAGGATTAATATAAATGTTTCCCGGGAACATTGTTCTCAAAGTTAGTTGGTCTGTTGGTTTGTTGTTTAACGCCGCACTATTCCAGCTATATGACGGCGGTCTGTAAATAATCGAGTCTGGACCAGATATCTGTGATACGATGACATGCCTGAAGCAAGTCAGCGAGTCTGACCATCCGATCCCGTTAGTCTCCCCTTACCACCAGCATAGTCACCTTTTACGGCAAGCAGGGGTTGCAGAAGACCTATTCTACCCCGGAATTTCACCGGTCTGTTCTCAAAGAATACCAAGAAGCATAACTGGGCACAATGTGAACTCGTACCAAAAATATAATGTCATTTGTCAACATTTTATATTATAGATAACAGAGCATGCTTCATAAGTATTGGCGATAAAAATAATGATACGCGCGAGATATTAAGTCACGCGCCGATACCAGAGAAACATTTCCTATTTTTCTTGCTTCACATAAATGTTGAATAGTGTCGATACCCGAATTTAGTAGACGGTTACCTTGGTGACCGCCGGAAAGCTGAAACAATAGACAAAACGTGTATGTAAATTGTGACACAAGTTCCGGTCACAAACAGTTTCAAGTGTGCGATTTCTAAACAACGGGCGGTTGGGTGGCCTGGTGGTGAACGCGTTTGCTCTTCAACCAGGTTTGATTCTTGATGTCCTTATGTGGTTGGAATTGTGCGAAGAGCGTCGAAAACCGATCTTACTCATCCACTCTTAACCTAGGAATCGGCTCAATACCCAATGCGGTGCTGGACAAGCTAGGGTCGCACCGTGACCTTGGCATTCACACGGAGATGTTCAGCGATGGCGTCGTGGACTTGGTGGAGACCGGCGCTGTCTCCAACACCAAGAAGATCATCCAGCCTGGAAAGATCCTCTCAAGCTTCACCATCGGCACAAAGAAGCTGTACGACTTCCTCGACAACAACCCGTCGGTTGGTGAGTACAACGTTGCTGATAGGGTTCACGTCGTCCTGAAAATGAACATGGACAGATTGGGTATAATAAAATGACACAATAAAAAATGAACTTAAACAGCCAACGCCGATATTTGAAAGACTTCAACACTACAAGTAGTGTATGTTCAGCGTGGTTTTATAATTTTAAAAAAATCAAATTGGCTGTCTGATATCATAATAGTTACGTGTATGTAACATAGGTACATAATAAAACAAATCGCCGTCATTTGCACGAAGTTCAACAGGGCAGAAAAAAGCTCGAGAAGCGCGGTAACTACCTTTCTAAACGAGGTCATAAAAACCGGACGCCCACTGGTGCAAATATCACTTCTCGCGCACCAGTGTATTGTTTCAGTCATCCAATCGGCATTGTTGACGTCATTCGTATCTTATTGTGACGTAAGGTCAGAATGACGTCACACTAGAAATGACGTCATATCTGAAGATTGTTGACGTCATTCCACAAATCATGATTTTCTTGGAAAGGGGTTGTGATCAGTGCATTCTTCTAAAGGGGAGCTCAAAAGGATTAAGAAAAAAATAGTTTTTAAGAAAGTTCTTGCCACTCGTTTCTAAAAATATCAGTATGACAAACATGCTCGTATAATAATCCGTATACAGATCCTATGCATAACTGTACTACCTCCAGTCATGGTTGATGCGGCCTACAGCAACAGCACAGACATCATATCCCAGAACCCTAAGGTGACGGCCATCAACTCAGCGATTGAGGTGGACCTGACCGGGCAGGTCGTGTCCGATTCCATCGGGACCAGAATGTACTCAGGTCAGTGAATGCATTCTTAAACAAGAATGTATGTGTAGGATAAATACCCAAGTGTAGATGTTTCAAACACACTTTTTGGGCCTTGGGGTAGCCCAGTGGTTAAAGCGTTCGCTCGTCACACCGGGGCCGGGTTCGATCCCCACATGGATGGGTACAATGTGTGAAGCCCATTTCTGGTGTCCCCCGCCGTGATATTTCTGGAATATTGCTATGAACGGCGTAAAACCTCACGCACGCACGCACGCACTCACGCACTCACAAACTCACTCTCTCACCTTCCTCGGCAACCGGACGTAAAATATCTTGTGCTGGCTTGAGATATATGCACTTAATGATGGGATTCTCCTGAAGAATGAGACCCGACTTGGATAACCTCTTCCCAATCCATTTCAATCTAAGTAAAACATGGTTAAACAAATGGGGGGTCCAAAAAGTATTGTGGTTTTATCAACGCCTCTGTAGCCCAGTGGTTCATTCATGAGGCTACAGGTCCGCCTCCGTGGCCTAGTGGTAAAGCGTCCGCCCGGAGAGCGAAAGGGTCCTGGTTCGATCCCCGGCCGCGTCATACCAAAAGACGTTTAAAAGATGGTACTTGTTGTTACCCTGTCTGACGCTCGGCATTAAGGGACTAAAACAAGGACTGGTCGGCTCGGAGTCAGGATACTGTGTCTGAGTGGGGTCTTCATGTTAAACTGCGGCATGGTGTCCCAGTGGGCTAGCACTATAAATCGGCATCAGTCCGGACTAGTACAAGCAGCCACACACACACACGTACATGCACGTCGCTGTGTAAGTGCAATCATCTTGAATACGACGTTAAACCCCATTTCACCTCACCTCATTCGATACGAAGGTTAAAAGTTTTACCCATAGAAACATATCATCAATATTTTGTGTGTAAATTCGGGGGCTTCTATAAGGGGACGAGTATGAAATGAACCCTCATGACTCTTAAATTGTATTAAGTAGATGTTCTGGGTTATCAAAGAGAGACTATTGGAAAATATTACAGGTTGTATATCGAGAGACAGCAGTTTTGTGTTACATTTTGAATATTATAGGTTGAGATACTGGCTTGATGATGCCTACTTATCACCCCTGTACTTGTTTCCTATGAAAGTTATCACCAATATACATTCCATGTTGTCATCGATTTTAGGTTTCGGGGGTCAAGTAGACTTCATCCGAGGCGCGTCCCTCTGTCGAGATGGGCTGGGAAAACCAATCATTGCCTTGCCATCACAGACAAAGAGGGGCGAGACAAAGATAGTTCCGCTCATCAAGGAAGGTGAGTAATCACATTGAAAGAGAAAATTAACATGCTTCCTAAATTTTGCCAAAAATATCATTTGAGTCAACAAACAAACTGCATACAATGGATATCAATGCAATAAATCAGTCCGATTATCTTGGCAACGATATCCTATACCTGTTTAGATACTTGCTCGATAAGCTATTGTATAACGTTTCCAGAAAGTTTCTATGGGTACGCGTTCTTCTGTATACAGTCAAGTCCCGTTAATCTGACTTGGTTGGTTCCATATGATTATGTCGGATTAACGAGTATGTCAGATAAACGAAATTAAGTTATATAAACGTTCGTGATCGAAAATTGGACAACTACACGATAGATAACGATACAAACACGTTGCAATAAAATATAAACGAAATATTCACAATATTGGTAAATAATCGAGTCTGTACCAGACAATCCAGTGATTGACATTATGAGCATCGATCAACGCAATTAGGATACGATGACATGCATCAACCAAGTCACCGAGCCTGACCACCCGATCCCGTTAGTCGCCTCTTAATAGGCTCGCTGACTTGGTTGATGCATGTCATCGTATCCCAACTGCGTGGATCGATGCCCAAGATATCAATCACTGGATTATCTGGTACACACTCGATTATTTACAGACAGCCGTCATAGAGCTTGAATATTGCTGAGTAAACAACAAACGAACAAACAAAACAAACAAATAAGCGCATACGGTGGTCCAGGCTGAAACGCAACACTTTGTTTCCCGGAAACATATGATTATGGGTTCGAATCCCTGTTGCTCTGAATGTGTTTCTAGGTTTGTCAGTATTATACCCGTGCTCGTGGGTTTCACCAAACTGATAAACGTCTGAGACCTGCATCACTATGCGCCTTCCTAACAATAATATGCTGACATATGATGTATTGTTTGTATGTTTGTTTGTTGACGCCGTTCTCGGCAATAACATGGAGACAGGACACCTCACGATATTTAGTGATTCTAAAGTCTTATTTACTTTCTGACAGTTTAAGGTCTATGGATAAGGGTTATGCGATTTTGGTCATATGGACTTTGACCGAGTCGAAGTATACTACAAATTACGTAATGCTTTCACGTGGTTTAAGTGCAGTCCCATGATGTACTTTGGACTCGATATTCCTGGAATATATCTTAATGCCGCGTAAAACTATACTCACTCAATCACCCTATATGATCTAAATAACCGTTCAGCCCCCGTCAACAACCTTGATTTACGATACAAATGTGACCGTCTTCATAATTGATGTATTAATGTCCTAATATGACCGTCTTCATTATTGAAGTACTAATGTCCTAATATGACCGTCTTCATTATTGAAGTACTAATGTCCTAATATGACCGTCTTCATTATTGAAGTACTAATGTTCTAATATGCCCGCCTTCATTATTGAAGTACTAATGTCCTAATATGCCCGCCTTCATTATTGAAGTACTAATGTTCTAATATGCCCGCCTTCATTATTGAAGTACTAATGTCCTAATATGCCCGCCTTCATTATTGAAGTATTAATGTCCTAATATGCCCGCCTTCATAATTGAAGTACTAATGTCCTAATATGCCCGCCTTCATTATTGAAGTACTAATGTCCTAATATGCCCGCCTTCATAACTGAAATACTAATGTTCTAATATGACCATCTCCATAATTGAAGTATTAATGTCCTAATATGTCCGCCTTCATAATTGAAGTACTAATGTCCTAATATGCCCGCCTTCATTATTGAAGTACTAATGTCCTAATATGACCACCGCCTTCATAACTGAAATACTAATGTTCTAATATGACCATCTCCATAATTGAAGTATTAATGTCCTAATATGTCCGCCTTCATAATTGAAGTACTAATGTCCTAATATGCCCGCCTTCATTATTGAAGTACTAATGTCCTAATATGACCGTCTTCATTATTGAAGTACTAATGTCCTAATATGCCCGCCTTCATTATTGAAGTACTAATGTCCTAATATGCCCGCCTTCATTATTGAAGTACTAATGTCCTAATATGCCCGCCTTCATTATTGAAGTACTAATGTTCTAATATGCCCGCCTTCATTATTGAAGTACTAATGTCCTAATATGCCCGCCTTCATTATTGAAGTATTAATGTCCTAATATGCCCGCCTTCATAATTGAAGTACTAATGTCCTAATATGCCCGCCTTCATTATTGAAGTACTAATGTCCTAATATGACCACCGCCTTCATAACTGAAATACTAATGTTCTAATATGACCATCTCCATAATTGAAGTATTAATGTCCTAATATGCCCGCCTTCATAATTGAAGTACTAATGTCCTAATATGACCGTCCTTATAATTGAAGTAACCAGCTTGGGGACACTTGGAAATGATAGTGCGGGCATATTGTCTGACAGCGAACTTTGATACAGGCTACCTCACGATATTCAATGATTCTAAGGTATTATTTACTTTCTGACAGCTTTAGGTCAATACATAAGGGTTATGCGATTTTGGTCACATGGACTTTGACCAAGTCGAAGTATACAAGAATTTACGAAATGTTTTCACGTGATTTCAAGTGCAGTCCGTTGATGAACTTTGGACGTTGATACCGTTCCATAAAATATTTCTAACGTGATGCGATTACACTACATTTCAGACATGGTGACCTTCAAATAGACCCGTGAAGATCTGGGGTAGAATAGGTCTTCAGCAACCCATGCTTGCCTTAAAAGCGACTATGCTTGTCGTAAGAGGCGACTAACGGGATCGGGTCGCCAGGCTAGCTGACTTAGTTGATCCATGTCATCGTATCCCAATTGTGTGGATCGATGCTCATGATGTCAATCACTGGATTGTCTGGTCCAGACTCGTTTATTTACAGACCGCCGTCATATAGCTGGACTATTGCTGAGTGCGGCGTTAAACAACAAACAAACAAACCTTCAAATAATCTGTATTGTTTGTCATCTCATGTCCTAAATTACCATCTGAAACTATTTTATTTCTAAAAAAAACAAGAACGAATTTCGCGTTTCAAAAACAAATTCTCGCTGTTTTCACAGAAGGGACGTAAGTTTGTCTCTGTTTTCTGTCTGGTTTGTAAATGGTCTGCCATTTGCGTCTTATAGAAGTCTAGCACAATTACATGCCGTGAGTATATGATATGAACGCAGACACGTTGGAAATTAATCTATTTGTTAACCATATTTCCACATGCCCTAACAAACTCAACACGGAATACCAATGTACTTGGTCCGATTTAAGGTGTGTGTGTTGGCTGTTTAACGCCCACTTAGCAATGTTCCGGTTACAAGACGGCGGCCTGTAAATGATCGAATCTGGACCAGACAATCCAGTGATTGACATCATGAGCATCGATCTAGGCAGATGGGATACGATGACATGCATCAACCAAGTCAGCAAACCTGACCACTCGATCCCGTAAGTCGCCTCTCACGACAAGCACAGTCGCCTCGTATGACAAGTATGACATAACCGATAGAACTGAAATTCTCTTTACGTCAACCAAACTAACTCGGATCCATTGTCCCAAGGGCAATAACCTCAAGATAGAGTCATGTTGCCGCCATGTTGTGTTTTAATTTAATATTTGGAACTGAACGACCTCAACAAAAGCAAAGCGACAAAGCCAAATGTTGTTAACGTTGCACGTGTGGCCCAGTCGTCTAAGGCGCCGCGATTCGCTGTGCAGAGTTGCGTTCCTTTGGGCACGCCAGAAACCTATGATTGTGGGTTCGAATCCCGGTTCGCCCCGATTATGTTTCTAGGTTTGTCAGCACCATGTCAGCCCATGGGTTTCACCGAAGTGGTAAACGTCTGAGACCTGCATCACTTCGGGCTTTCCTCCGCCAAAAAGCTGACACGCCGTGATATAACTGGAATAGTGTTAAAAGCGGCGTTAAACCCAACTCACTCACTCACTCCAAATTGAATACATGTTCGTGTTTTTCATACGTTTGTAGGTGCTGGAGTCGTAACGACACGAGCGCACGTGCATTACGTGGTGACAGAGTTCGGCATCGCCTTCTTGTTCGGCAAAAGCCTGCGACAGAGAGCCTACGAGTTGATAAAGATAGCTCACCCCAACCACAGGGAGCAGTTGGAGAAGGCGGCCTTCGACAGACTCAAATGTATGCCTGCTCCGTGATTGGACATGTTCACGAGCCTCAAGTGTATGACTGCTCGTGATTGGACGATGTTCACGAGCCTCAAGTGTATGTCTGCTCGTGATTGGGCGATCTTTGCTGGGCTCAAGTGTATGCCTGAAAACAAACACAAATTTGTTATGATATATTTTTGGAATATGATATAACATATTTATGACACGCGGGCCAAGTTATCTTGTTGGTGCAGAGTTACGTCCCTTATCATATAGGATCTGGTCGCTGGTTCCAGTTTATATTCTCAATTTGTCAGCGCCATGCTTGGGTATTTCCTTGTGTACGTCTATCGCCAACGTTACTTTCTACAAACACGGCCTGATATACCTGAAATATTGTTTGTTCTCGCACTCACTCATTACATGTGCACATATTGTTAATTGATTTTCTTGTTCTCATTTGGGATTAATCGGGGTCCCAGTGAGTAATCCGGTGACTACAAGGCCTCCAGTACGCCACAGGCACGGTGGCCCAGTCATCAAAGGTGCAATCCGCTGGGCCGAGTTACGTCCCTTAGGATCACCAGAAACCTGTGATAGCGAGTTCGAATCCCAGACTCGCCCTGATTATGTTTATAGTTTTGCCAGCACTCTACCCGATGGTTTCACCAAAGTGGTAAACGTCTAAGACCTGCATTACTTCAAGCTGCACTCCAACATCAAGCTGACACGACGTGACATAACTGTAATACTGTTAAAAGTGGCGTTAAACCAATCTCACTCTCTTCTGATATTGATTGATAATGGCTGATATTTCATCTAAACTAGCCCAACTTACTCACCCCCTCACTAACTCAGTGTCCCATACTTGTGGTTTGTTTGTTTAACGCCGCACTCAGCAATATTCCAGCTATATGACGGCGTTCTGTAAATAATCGATTGTGGACCAGTCAATCCAGTGATTGACATCACGGGCATCGATCTACGCAATTGGGATACGATGACATTCATCAATCAAGTCCGCGAGCCTGACCACCCGATCCCATTAGTCGTCTCTTACGACAAGCATAGTCGCCTTTTACGGCATGCATGGGTTGCTGAAGACCTAGTCTAACCCGGATCTTCACGGGTCCCATGCTTGTGGTAAGAGCGGACGTGGGTGGTCCGACTCGGTGACGTGGTTGATGGCAAGGACCGTCATGCATGCTTCCCGTCACTGGTTTGTCTGGTCCATATCGGTTATTTACAGGCCACCGTGATATAGCTGGACCATTGCTATTACGTCCAACAAACCCACTTATTTATGTTTGATGCTCATTGTAGTGTTTTGTTTTTTGGAAGCATTTGTTTTGCGACTTTTCGCAGCCTCTGCGTTGTGTCTTGAATGTACACATTTTCCTTTTTTCAGATGCTATATCAACAAACTCACAAATGTCATTTTGCATTTGTATACCTTGTGATGAACAAATTTTAATATCGTCAAATACAGTTTGTCGTTATTCCTTTTGCTGTTGGTTTGATGTTTTGTTGAAGATGCCCTACTAGCTGCTCTTCCCCACATGGGTGTCAAGGTGAGTATGTCAATTCACCATCGTGAAACCAACGGAACTGGACATTCAGCGAGATACTTCCCGAATATTTTTAAGTCCATATAGTTGGGATTCCGGGACAGAACCTATGCTTCTTAGAGCTGAATTAATGCAGGGCTCGGTGACTTCGCTGATAGTTGGCGACGGCGGGGATCGTTGCTCACATTATCGATCACTGGTTTGTCTGGTACAGACTTGATTATTTACAGACCGCCGTCATACAGCAGGAATATTGCTGAGTGCAAAATATTACTTTGACAATAGCTGAATATGCTCATTTCTCTCTAATCTATGTCACAGCTAAAACTCGACTATCTTATCAAACGAAGGTGTGTTTAAAATTCGATAAAGAGTTTTTATCCAGAAAGAGAACATTTTCTGATTTGACGTAACTCCTGGAACCAATAGCATCACTGCATTCGCCTTACCCTCTCTCTTTGAAACCCCCTTGGGGTCTCCGGTCACAATTGGCCCCGGCATGGGCATGTGGAAATATGGTTCACAAATAGATTAATTTCGAAAAGTGTCTGTGTTCCTATCAAGTACTCACGGCATGTAACTGTGTTATACTTCTATAAAACGCGACCGCCTCCGTGGTCTAGTGGTAGAGCGTCCGCCCGGAGAGCGGAAGGTCCGGGGTTCTATTCCCAGCCGCGTCATACCAAAAGACGTTAAAAGATGGTACTTGTTGTTACCCTGTCTGGCGCTCGGCATTAAGGGGCTAAAACAAGGACTGGTCGGCTCGGAGTCAGTATACTGTGTATGAGTGGGGTATTCATGTTAAACTGCGGCATTGTATCTCAGTGAGCTAGCACTATAAATCGGCATCAGTCCGGACTAGTACAAGCAGCCACACAGACACGGCAGTACATGCACGTCGCTATATAAGTGCAATAATCTTGGACGCGACGTTAAACCCCATTTCGCCTCACATCTATAAAACGCAAATGGCAGAGTGTTTTTACAATCTGGGGAAAAAACATAGGCATACTTACTACCCTTCTGTGAAAACAGCGAGAATTTGTTCATGGAACGAGAATTTCGTTTTTGTTTTAAAATAAAATAAAAAATTCAGCCGGTAATTTAGTACATGAGACGACAAACAATACAGACTATTTGAAGGTCAGGAAGTCGGAAATTTAAGTAGCATGATCGAATCACGTTAAAAATATTTTTATGGAACGGTATCAAAGTCCAAAGTACATCAATGGACTGCGCTTGGAAATCACGGGAAAACATTACGTAAATTCTTGTTTACTTCGACTCGGTCAAAGTCCATACGACCGAAATCGCACATCAATTGACCTAAAGCTGTCTGGGAGTAAATAGGACGTTAGAATCATTAAAAATCGTCAGGTATCATGTATCAAGGTTCGCTGTCAGGCAAAATGCTGGCACTTTTATTTCCAATTGTACCCAAGCTGGGCCTTACACATTGTGCCAAAGTGGGGAATCGAGCCCAGGTCTTCTGCGTGTCATAGGAAGGATTTAACCACTAAGCTAACCCACCGCACTAGAGCTATATAGGGTTAGTAAGGCAGTCATATTTTTCTAAAAGAACCATATAAGATCATATGGGATAGTATCGGAAAAACGAAAGATTTGGATTGTTTGTTTTTTTAAATACTGATTTTGATGGTGATATGCGTGCCCGTACAGTGCGGTTGACAAAAGTATCACGTAATGTTGTATTTGGCACACAATTTGAGTGAGTGAGTGAGTATGTATGTTCGCCGCTCAAGCAACAACACGGCGGGGGACAACAGAAATGGGCTTCACACATTGTACCCATGTCGGTAAACGAACCCGGGTCTTCAGCGTGACGAGCGAACGCTTTAACCACTAAGCTACCCGACCGCCCTTTCACACAAGTTGACGTATTTCCGTTTAAAGTGGTGATACTTGGCAAACGTGAGTAGTATGTTTACAAGGAATCGCACACAATGTCGTATGAAGTAATAGTTTTAAAGATAGCGGCCCGTTACAGTGAGAGAGAACGAGTTTTGATGTATTTACGTCGGTAAGTATATTATAATAACACAATTTGTACATAAACTTATTTGATACTGGCCGCTGCCATCACATTGTTTATGGCCATTGAATATTGTACTACCACTCTATTGTTTACTGCCAGGGGCGGTCGGGTAGCCTAGTGGTTACAGTGTTCGCTGGTCATGCCGAAGACCGGGGTTCGATTCCCCCTCTTGGTACAATGTGTGTAGCCTACTTCTGGTGTCCCCCGCCGTGATACTGCTGGAGTATTGCTAAAAGCGGCGTAAAACCATAATCGGTCACTGTTATTGATCACATATCAAATAATTTATATTGACATACAGGTAGTTTTTGTCATATTTTTGGTGGCGAACACATTTTACATTCGCATCCAATCTCATTAAAATCAGTTCTTGTTATTGCTAAACAAAGATCTGAGGGCATCCCATTACGGGTCACGTCAGAACGACCTTTCATCCGACCAATCAAAGCGTCGCTTACCAGATCATGAAAATGCCTGTCGTAATGTGTTTTCTAATCATGCAACCTCAAAAACGTTAACAAGGAGTATTCCGAACGACAGTTACGGTCCGTACAACTGATTCCGTCCAAATTATCGTCTATCTCTCGCTTCAGTGGGATAAACATTTGAACGGAGGAGGCGTTAGTAGTATAGTCTAAGTCCGCAGAAGGCCATTTTGGTTGATACGGTTGATCCAGGCGGATGCGAAGGTGATTGGCTGATCCGAGTCACGTGATCGGATAGGATGACTCATGCATCAACAGCGCGTCACAGGTGAGGGGGAATGAAAGGTGTGTGTTTATAAGGCAGAAAAGAATTCATAAGAAAACAAAAGTAAAAGGTTATGAATAGAGCTATGTGTATAACGTGCTGCCCTAAATAGACAGACCGTACCCGTCAGCCCAGTTTGAATTGAGCGCGCTTGACAACTCACGTGGCCTCGTCGTTTAACCCGCGCTCGCTAGAGCGTGCGACCTGGTTTGATGAATGCAGGGTGTGTGTTGAAAGTACAAGTACCACAATAGAGACGGGTTATGTCAACACGATATACGCCGGGTAATGTAGGTGGGAAAAAAAATGTACGTCTAGCTGGATCAAATTCATCTTGTACGGTCTACACGTTGTACACCACGAACGTTAGACAACCTGTATGGATAAAAAATATAGAGACAAAATAGATAAGACTACGCAATCAGCAAGCTAGCAGTTTACGTTTAGCGCGCAAGAACGAGCTAATGTATAGCAGAGAGACTAAGCGACCGACCGCCCATAACAATGTCAACATACCCCGGTCTTACAATTAATGTCAACATACCAGCCTCGCCTGAAGCTTCCCATTCATAAATTGTGTGACCAGTGTCCCGTATTTATGATATGTTAGGGAAGATGTGTTGTACATTTGTTATTTTAAAAGGGAGTTATTTCAGAGAGGATATATATATATGGGTATTCCCCCTCATTAAACCTTTCTTTCGTTGGTGTCTATTAAACGTATCCGGTATTTAGTAATTTGAATGATGTAGGAAAGTATGTGCGTTTTGATGTCGTACCTATATCCGAACACGAATGTACGACACCTTTCAATAGATGAATTACGGTTCCAACCACGACACGCAACATGACTATGAGCGTGGTTAGCAGTTCATATTTATAAACACATCGTAAATGCCAGATTTCTGATGAATGAACTCGCCCGGACACATGTTATGTTCGCCCGAACTGTAAACAGTGACACATTGATAACAGGAAGGGTGTGTGGAATGCACTCGTCCTTGTAAGGGTAAAATACGCGTTTAAACTCACCATTTAAATGATGATGACATTACTTTTTAGATGTATTGGTATCAGTGAGTGAGTGAATTTAGTTTTACGCCACACTCGGCATTATTCCAGCTCTAGGACGGTGGTCTGTCAATAAACGAGCTTGGACCAGACAATCCAATGATCAACAGCATGAGCAGCGATCTGTGCAACTAGGAACCGATGGCACGTGTCATCCGAGTCGGCGAGACTGACCTACCGATCCCCGTCAGTCGCCGATAAGCATGGGTTACTGAAGGTCGATTCTATAACCCGGACCTTCACGGGTGTAGTATGACGAAGACTATATACTAATATGATCGCTTTTTTAACATACTCACAAGTGTGCTGTGAAGAAAAGAGTGTCTTCCAAGATTCCCTGCACGTGTAAGACAGTATAAACTCTACAGTAATGTAGCCCGACAAACAGTTTTACTCTCGCCAGCAAACGGATTGGACGTGAACAACATGAAGAAAGCATCAGAGATTAGACTTGACCCTAGAGATATATTAAGGAAGAATACGTTGAGAAAATCACAACAGAGAAAGAAACCACAAGCAGCCAAGAGATCGACGCTGAAGACAAAGAAGAGACAGGTAACACCTAAAATGAAAACGATGACAACCAAACAGGGATCGAAGACAACACCCCAACCCGTGAAAATACAACATGTGTCGGGGGTGAAGGCTGTGGTGGAACGGGCACTTGCTGCCTTGAAGCGTCAACAGAGTCAAGGGTATAAAAGAAAGCTTTATACCCTCTAATCGCACACCGTATTGGATCACCATGGGGGTTGCCACCTGTCCGGACTGTGAAAAAATGTTTTCAAGGAGAGATGTCATGTTACGACACAGGAGAAATAAACATAGCATACCGCCGCCGTTACAAGCCCACCCGCCGCCGCAAGTCCACTCGCCATTACAAGCCCACCCGCTAACGCCGCCGCCGCCGCAAGTCCACTAGCCATTACAAGCCCACCCGCTTACGCCGCCGCCGCAAGTCCACCCACCGCCGCCGCCGCAAATCCACCCGCCATTACAAGCCCATCCGCTATAACGCCGCCGCCGTTACAAGCCCACCCGCCGCCGCAAGTCCACTG